ACACCCACACATCTCTGCCCTCATCTGTACCCTGACATGTACCCCATACACCCACACACCTCTGCCCTCATCTGTACCCTGACATGTACCCCCATATACCTACACACCTCTGCCCTCACCTGTACTCTGACATGTACCCCATACACCCACACATCACTGCCCTCATGTGTGTGCCCTGACATGTACCCCTATACACCTACACATCTGTACCCTCATGTGTGTGCCCTTACATGTACCCCTATACACCTACACATCTGTACCTTCATGTATGTGCCCTGACATGTACCCCCATACACCTACACATCTGTACCCTCATGTGTGTGCCCTGACATGTACCCCCATACACCCACACATCACTGCCCTCATGTGTGTGCCCTGACATGTACGCCTCACACAAAATAAATACATGTGAAGAAGGAGGAAAAGGAGGAGGGGAAACTGAGAGATAGATAGCTCAGTGGTTAAAAGGAGTCCTTGCTCTTGCAGAGGACCTTTCTCATATTCTAGCATCCTTGTCAGGCAGCGCACACGCCTCTGTGAATCCAGCTTCAGTGTCCTCTCCTGGTTTTCTCCAGGTACCTGCACACATATGCAAACACCCCCCTTTTATATAAGGAAAAAGCTAACAGCCCCAGAAGAGGCATTCTGTTGTCTCTAGCACTGAGAAGCAAACCTAAGTCTCACTCATGGTGTGCCAGTACTCTGCTACTGAGCAGACCTCCACCCTCTAGAGAGGTTCTGATTCAACATCAGGGCAGCTAACAGAGTAGATGGCATTTTAATGAATTACTCTGTTTTCAAAGACATTTTGTTTTCGAGTCGGTTTCATATGTAGCTTTGGTTAGAAGGCACTACGTAGCTCAGACTGTCCTCAAGTTTCCATCAATCCACCTGTCTTAGCCTTTCCAGTGCTAGGGTTACAAGAGTGAGCCACCAATGCTTGGTTTATTTTGAGTTATTAATCTGAAGCATTGGTAAAAACTTAAACATGAACTACATTGGAGTTTGAGCCAGCAAAACTGGTTAAAGGTATGCATTTGGGGCCGGGGAGTCAGCTCAGTGGGCAAGTGTTGTATAAGCGTGAGGACCTGAGGTTTCTTATCCCCATGTAAAGGCAGGTGATGCACATCCATGGAGCTTATGCTGGAAGAATAGAGAGAATGATCCAGGAGTTCACTAGCCAGCCAGTCTAGCCAGCTGGTGAGCGAGCTCAGGTTCAGGGAGAGACCTTGTCTCAAAAAGTACAGTGGAGAGCAACAGAGGAAGACCTTTGATCTCTACCTTTATGTGCAGACACATGGTCAAGCACAATCTCCACTGTGCACATACACACATACATGAGAGAGAGCAAGAATGAGAGAGAGAGAGAGAGAGAGAGAGAGAGAGAGAGAGAGAGAGAGAGAGAGAGAGTATGATAGAGAAAGAGGCAGTCACAGGGGGGAAGGAGGGAGGGAGAGGGAGATTATTATAAGATACATCTAAGAGCTGGGCATAGTGGTGCACACTTTTGATCCTACCACTTGGGAGGCAGAGGCAGGTGGATCTCTGTGAGTTTAAGGCCAGCCTGGTCTACAGAGTGAGTTCTAGGCCAGCCAGAGCTACATAGTGAGACCCTGCCTGGGTGTAGGGTGAAGAGAGAAAAACATTCATCTAAGTTTGGAAAGGAAGTATTTAATTATTATTTTATTTATTAATTTTGTTTTTGGTTTTTCCAGATAGGGTTTCTCTGTGTAACAGCCCTGGCTGTCCTGGAACTTGCTCTGTAAGACCAGGCTGGCCTTGAACTTGAAGAGATCCACCTACTTCTGCCTCCCGAGTGCCAGGATTAAAGGGTTGCACCACCACTGCCCAGCTATTTTATTCTTGTATTTGAGTGTTTTGACTGCATGTCTGTATATGTACACCACCTGCATGCAGTCCCTGAAGAGGCAAGGAGAAGGCATTGTATTGTATGGAACAGTTATAGATGGCTGTGAGCTACTATGTGGGTTCTGGGAGCCGAACCTGGGTCTTCTACAGGAGCAGTAATTGTTCATAACCTCTGAGCCATTTCTTCAGTTTCATGGGGAGGAATCTTAATGTCAATGACACCTATGGTGCAGCAGGATACAGGAAGCTGGCACTCACCATTCCACAGCCACGACTGTTTCTAATCCACTTACGTGTTGTCACAAAGTGACTAAGACAGGAAGTTTTCTGTCCTCTGCATACAGCAGGTACAGTTAAGCTTTGGGGTGTCAAGGAAGAATTGTGCTATATAGTTCACACTGCTTCTTCTGTCACTTAGGCTGTATGTAAGTTACTAGAAGATAATTTGTTGGGAAATGAAATAGTTAATGGAAGAAAACTGAGGAAAATAACCTCCGAGGATACAGACAGAGAAAAATGGGGTTTGGGTGGTAGTGTCTCAGAGAAACCAACATCCGTTCTCTTTCGGATGTCTTTCTTTCAGAGAGTCTGCTTTCTCCGTTAACATTTAGTGCTTGAGCTTTTGTTAAAATATCATCTATAGCCGGGCGGTGGTGGCGCACGCCTTTAATCCCAGCACTCGGGAGGCAGAGCCAGGCGGATCTCTGTGAGTTCGAGGCCAGCCTGGGCTACCAAGTGAGTCCCAGGAAAGGCGCAAAGCTACACAGAGAAACCCTGTCTCGAAAAACCAAAAAAAAAAAAAAAAAAAATATCATCTATAAAACCCCAGCTTGGGCTGAAGAGATGGCTCGTCCACTCAGGGTACTTTTTGTTCTTGCTGGGGACTCACATTGAATTCCCAGCACCCACATGTTGATTCACAGCCATCTGTAACTCCAATTTCAGGGTATCAAATGCCCTCTTCAGGCCTCTGAGGGCATGAGGCACACACATGGCACACATACATATACATACATGAAAAACATTCATATACATAAAATTAAAATTAAATGATAGATTATGGGGGGGGTTTGAGACTGTCTAACTACGTGTAGCTCTGGCTCTTCTGGAACTTACTACATAGAACAGGCTGGCTTCAAACTCACTTGTCTGCCTCCCAAATCCTGGATTAAAGGCATGATCCACTACACTGGGATTAAGTGGCAAATCCTAAAAAACAAAACAAAACAACAAAACAAAACTTTGCTTAAAAAATTGAGTTTGGTGACACTTCTGAGTTTTTTTTTTTTTTTTTTTTTTTTTTTTTTTTTTTTTTTTTTGGTTTTTCGAGACAGGGTTTCTCTGTGTAGCTTTGCGCCTTTCCTGGATCTCGCGCTGTAGACCAGGCTGGCCTCGAACTCACAGAGATCCGCCTGGCTCTGCCTCCCAAGTGCTGGGATTAAAGGCGTGCGCCACCACCGCCCGGCCACTTCTGAGTTTTTATTTTGCAAAATGACAATGAGCAGGGACTACTGTAGGCTTCAGGGTCCAGGGCTATCTATACACACTTGTGTTTTACTTATTCATCTAGGGGCATTTTGGGGTGGTAACCAAGTTCATTTCAGCAGTTAACTGTAAAAGAACCCTTATGGGATCGTCGTGACAGCGCACACCTTTCTTCCTATCACTCAGGAGGTAGAGGAGGAAGGATTACTGAGTTTGAGACCAGCCTGGTCTACAGAGTGAGTTCTAGGACAGCCAGGGCTACACAGAGAAACCCTGTCTCAAAAACTCAAAAACCAGTAACAAAAAAAATAAAACCTCCCAAACCCCAAAACCTATATATAGTCTGATGAGGTTGTCAATTAAGGCACATGAAGGAACTCAAGGGGGGAGTGTAAAGATGTTCTGAGTATCTGGTTCGAAATGAGAACAGTCTCTTTTGAATAGTTTGGTGTCACGGAAATTTAAAGTAATTCTGCAGTCAGCCTCAGGAGATAATATTCTTGCTTAGAACAAGTTGGAAGGTAAACTTTGGACAGTGTATTATACTATGCCCTTTGTAATAAATAACCCAAGATAATGTGTTAAAGTTTAGTCGAGATTTAAATTCCTGAGCTGATTAAAGTTAAGACCATAAGGTCTAAAAAATGTATTAATATTAGTTCTGAAGTCCATAGTGAAGAATTGCATGGCTTAAAAAAAATCACTTTATAACTGCCCAATTTTGAAGACTGATACAGAATTAAGCTCTAACTAATAAAACGAACAAACAAACAACATCAAAACAAAACAAAACCCTCAACAATTCAACTTTAAGTCTAGGCCTCAAGTAGGCAGACTGGTTCAGGCTGACTGTAGCCTGTCTCAACCACACAATGCAGAGCCTCTGAAGGTTGGGAGGTCACCATGGAGGTGCAGTTTCAGAAAGATAAATCTGGCTGTGTGTGCAGTGGACGGGGGCAGAAAAGAGACGGAAGCAGGGTCCATTTGCAGCTACTACAACGTCAAGATGCTGGAGTAAAATGGTTTAAAAAAAAAAACCAATTCAGAAAAGAACAGGAGGGGTCGGGCTAGTGGGAAAGCGCCAGGTCTACAGAGGCGGCTTGACTTTCCCTCTGTCCTTAGAGCCGTCCGGAGGATAGGGGGGTGGCGGCCCCCGGGGTCGTGCCAGAGCAGGGTCCGCCCAGTTGTCCTCACACTTCCCTTCCAGTCCCAATGGCCCCTCCCCGCCCTGTCCTGGCGGACGTCCCCAGGAGCCCCCACCCCCTCGGCTGCGGCGCCGCCCTCCGCCGGGTTCCTTCCCCTCCCCTTCCCGTGGGGCGCTGACTCGCCCAGCTGCCACGTCTCACTGATGACATCAACACAGTCGGCTCGGCCTTAGCCAATCCGCTAGGGGGAGTCCGAGCGAAGTCCTAGCCAGCAAGCCAGCGGGGAGGGGAGCAGGAAGGGCGGGGTGTGGGGGGTGAGAGAATCGGGACGGGGCGGGCGACAAGCTCGCGGTTGCGCATGCGTGCCGGGCGCGGGGCCTAGTGGGAAGCTGAGTGCAAGCTGTCCTCGGCCCCGTCAGGTTGCCCAGCGCGCGGTGTGCTCACGACTCTGTTTCCCGGCATGCCGCGCGACGCGGCCGCCCTCTGGGCCGCGACAGGCCCCTTGGCCTAGGCTTCCCTAGTTCCTGGTTCGCCGGCGGCCATTTTGGGTGGAAGCGATCCCTGAGTGGCGGCGGCTGCTGATTGTGTTCTGAGGGTCGGAGTGGGGTCGACGTTTGCTCTACCGGAACCACTTAGCTCCTTCCTTCCCTTCCATTACCCGTGGCGCGGAGAGTCGGGGCGGCGGCTGCGTCAGCAAGGGCGGTGGCGGCGGCGGCAGCTGCAGTGACATGTCCAGCATGAATCCCGAATAGTGAGTGCAGGAGAGCCGGGGCTGGCCGGGGTGAGGGCGTCCGGCCGGGACGGGGGGTGAAGGCCGCCGGGAGGTTCGCTGCGCGGCAGCGGGAAGGAAGGTCGGCCGGGCGAGCGAGGCGGAGCAGCCCGAGGGCCCCATTGTCTGACGGCCGAGGGCCGCGGCGGGGAGGGGTCGGGCCTCCGGGGCAGGGGCCGGCGGGCCGGCGGGGAGCTGTGTGCCGCGGCCGGGCGTTGGGGACTCGGCCTCGGACGGCGGCCCGGAGGGGCGCGTCTCGGGGAGGCAGTGGCGGCCGGAGGAGGGCTTGTTTTTAAGGGAGGTAGGTGGGAGAGCTCTGTTCGAGGGCACTGTCAGACCCTGCGCCGGCTCCGCGGAGCTGTCAGCCTCGGCGGCGAGGACACCAGCTTTGCTTGGAAATCCTGAGCTCGTGAGAGCCCTCTCCCCGTCAGGGTTCAGGTAATATGGATGCTTCTCGGGACTGCGTGGGCTTGAGGGGAATGGGGAGATGGTGAGAAGCTACTGACAGTGTTTAGTTTCCTTTTCGGCTTCTCTACTTGGAAGAGTTCTTTCAGAACTGCGAGCCATGGCCCTTCTAAAATCCTAGGCATTTGTGAATTTTTTGTCTTAGAGGACACCTAAGTCTCCAAGTCACCTTTTGTCTTCAGTAGGTCAACAATAACAACAATACAAAACTGAACTAAAATTAAAAAAAAAAAGATGTCTTCCTGTACCACCAAATTAAAGTCGAGTTTGCTGACAAATTGGAAAAGACACGGATGGGACCTTTGATAGAGCTGTAGGTTTTAGATTACCTAGTTGAAAGCCTGTAGATAGGGAATGAGGTTCCATGACGTGTCATGAAAAGTTAATGCATTCCTTTTTCTTGCTTACTCAAGAAGTCACTCGAGCAAATGTGACACACCTGGCGCCTTTCATGGGAACTGGTGATCTCTCTCCTCCGGTAGACTTCGTTGGGCTCTCTGGAACGGCGCCAAAATCCTCCTATGGTTTCCATATGTGAAAGTCGGTAATAACTTGAAGAGATGTCATTCTTATTCCTCGTTAGTGTCAGAAATCTTTAAGGGAGGAGATACACACACACACACACACACACACACATACACACATATATATACACATATGTGTATATATATATTTTTTTTTTTTTGATAAGAGAAATCAGTATTGCCCTAAAAGCAGGATTTATTTGTTGCTTTAGTCAGTTCCCGCTGAGTGTTTCCCCATGAAAGGCGCCATCAGCTTAGCTGACTTGTCATGTGTCTGTCACATGGCTCTTGCAAAATGCATTCTAAGTTCAAGTTTTGAAAGACTGTGGTTTAATGCTGAGATGTTCTTTTTCATCTGTGCTAAGCAGAAGTCATCGTATCTTGGTAGAATTCTACCTTTTAATTCTATTGTGTGTGTAATGCATGTGACTGCAGGAGCACAGATGCCACAGTACTTGTGTGAAAGGTCAGGGGACAACTTTTGGGAGTTGGTTCGACCTTCCATTGTGGCTTCTGGAGATTGAACTCCGACAAGCACTCTAACCATAGAGCCATCTCACTGGCCCAGGCTTTTGTACTTCTTTAGGAGGTCGGGAACAGTTCATGTAGTGATAGACTTGCTGTGCTGGCAGCCCCTCCGGTCCCGGGCTCTGCAGGACCAAATTGGTTTAGTTGAGCAAAGTTGAATTGGGGTTCTTCAGTTAGTTTTCCTGGCAACAGTAAAGAACATGAATTTGCTAGATTACGGAGGTTTGTAAACCTGTACTATTTGAGGACTTTCCTATACGTTACATATATGCTTAAATATTATTATTTGTGTGTGTGTGTGTGTGTGTGTGTGTGTGTGTGTGTGTGTGTATAGAGCAGTGGTTCTCAACCTTCCTAATGCTGTGACCCTTTAATACAATTCCTCATGTTTTGGTGACCCCAACCATGAAATCATTTTTGTTGCCTTTTCATAACTGTACTACTGTTGTAATTGGTAGGGTCACAACCCACAAGTTGAGAACCACTGGGTTAGAACTATCCCCTGGAGCCAGAGTTACAAGCAGTTGTGAGCTGCTGATGTGGGTGCTGGGAATTGAACTCGAGTTTTCTGCAAGAACAATACATGATCTTAGCAAACACTTCTCAATCTCTCCAGCCTTGTTACTTATATTTTTTTTATTACTGTAAGAAGGTTTTGAAGATTAACTAGATGACAAAAATTTGATGTTACTCAGACTTTTAATTTGTTCTTCTTTTTGTAAAGTAGTATAAAAAAATCATTTTTATTACCTATTAAGGTAGTAGTGTGGCTCATGAGTAGGTAAATACTTGGACAGCTAACCAGAGCATGTTGTAGGTGGTGTAAATCATTTTTAAGTAAGCATTTCAGTTATGCCGGGATTTAGGAGTGTGAACCTTAACCTCAAGGGGCCTGCAACATAATAAAGAAAATAGATTTTCTACATGTCAGATACTAGTAGATAGAGCTGCATGGATCAGAGCGGTAGGATTTCAGGGGGAAGTCACTTGTGGGAGGCTGCTTTGGAAGACTGTTAGAGAAGAGACATGTAGGAAAATGACCAGTGCACCAGTGAGACAGCTCAGCTGCCACCTTGATGATGAGTTCCATCCCTGGACCTGCGTGTTCTCTGGTCTCCACATGTGCCCCGGAATAATCTAAATAAATATAAAGAAGAGACAATTATTGGCACAGGCGTGAGCCGGGGAGACTTTTCAAGAGGGAGAAGGAAGAGGAAAGTCTGGTAAATAAATGGCAAGGCAATAAGTTTTTTTAATCCATTCCTTAATTTAAGACACACTTTGTGGTGTAGCCCTGGCTCTCCTGAGACACACTGTAGACGAGGCTGGCCTTGTGTCTGCTCCAGTCTTCCTGCCTCTGCCTCCCAGGTGCTGAGTTACAGATTGGAGTCACCACGCTCTGCATGGACAATCATTTCTTCAGTCTTTGTTTTGAGGTCTCAAGTCGGCCAATATCTGACCTGTATTTGCTTTCTAGATTGTATAATAAAATAGTCCAGGTGTTTGGGGGAAGGATGAGAGGTAATGATAGATATTTTATTAGTGAATATCACAAGTGCACTCAATATACCAATACTGATTAAGTTATAATCTGTCTCTCTGATTGTGCTGTGTGTGTGTGTTTATGATCTGACTAAAAGCAATTTATTAGGCTGGTTTGGAGAAAGGAAAGCCTGTTATCTTTAAGATAGGAGTTAAGGGTAATGATTGAGTCACTTGGACTTCAGCTACAAACAAAACCACTGCAAGTGTGATCCTAACGTGGAACAGTAGATGGAAATGGTCAAAGTTTCTTTTCTTTTTTTTTTTTCTGGAGATCTGAGGAAATGTTTGACGTTATTACACTTATTTTGTGTATGGAGAGGGACACAGGGATGCTACAGGGCACGTGTGGAGGTCAGAGTAACTTGCAGGAATCAGTTCTCTCCTACCATGTGGGTCCTGCGGATTGAACTGTCTTTAGTTTTGGCTGTAAGCACCGAGCTATGGCCAAGATTTGATTTTCAGAGCTGGTAGTGAAGCAGGCAGTGATTATTCCAGCACACTGATTGGAAGTACTAAACAGTGCCAGGAGTGGAGGGGTCTGTGCTCTGAGCACTTGAGCCAGAGGCAGGAGGGTCACTGAAGGTTCTAGGCCTCCCTGGCCTACATTAATGAATTCTAGATGATCTAGGGCTACACAATCTGTGAGCTTCATTTTTATTTTGAGACAGGGTCTCAAGCTCACCCTATGACTGAGGATGACCTTCAGCTTCTAATCCTTCTATCACTGCCTGCTGAGTGCAAAGGCACAAGGGGCTGGGAGTCGAACCCATGGCATGCTGCCTAGCCGAGTTCTGTTACTAGCCTTGAACTAATGTGTGCATGAAGGCATATATGTGTGAGTATTGGGCTATGTGCACATGTGTGTGCATGCATTTGGTCTCCTAAGGTCAACCTTGGGTTTCATTCCTTGGGAGCTGTCCACTTTCTTTGTTTTTAGCCTGATTTTATGTGTGTTTGCCTGAATTGTGTCCGTACCATGTGCATGGTGCTTGCAGTGACCTCACAGGTCAGAAGAGGCTGTCTGCGTTACAGATGGTTGTGGGCTGTCAGTGCTCTTAACCACTGAGCCACCTCTCCAGTCCCCATTTCGTTTTTCTTTTGGAGACAAGGTTTCTTACTGGGACCTGGGGTTCATAGAAATTGGCTAGGTTGGCTGGCCAAGTATGCTCAGCACACCAGATTTGGCTTTTTGGTTTTTTGGTGAGTTCTTGAGACCTAACTCTGGTCCCCATGCTTGTCAGAGAAGCACTTTACCAAGGAAGCATCTCCCAGCCACCAAGTTTTAAACATTTTTAATAAATTACATTTAGAGTGTGTGTGTGTGTGTGTGTGTGTGTGTGTGTGTGTGTGTGAGAGAGAGAGAGAGAGAGAGAGAGAGAGAGAGAGAGAGAGAGAGAGAGATAGTATGTGGTGTGTGGAGGACAGCCTGTGAGAGTCAGTTCTCTCCTACCGTGTGGGTGCCAGGGATTGAACTCAAGTCATTAGGCTTGTTTGATTATTCAAGTGACAAAAATCGTGTCGTGGCTCATGAATGTAATCCCAGCCATTGAGAGGTGGAGGTAGGAGGACTGCCTGAAGTTTGAGGCCAACCTGGGCTACATAAGGCTTTGTTTGAAAAAGCTAAACCAAACCCAACCTCACCGTAGATGGGGATGATTGAATTCCTGATCTTGCAGTTCCCGTTTCCCAGATGTTGAGATTCCAAGTGAGCAGCAGCACCTCTCCTGGCTTCTGCAGGGCGGCCGTTCAGTGTGCTTCTCTCCCTCCCTTCTTCACTTTGAAATGAGTCTTCAGGCTCTCTGAACATGTCAGCAGTCCTCTGCTTTCCTCTAACGGTCAGGTCTGTTTCCAGTAAGTGCCCCCTTCCAATGTAAGTGTTGGAAAATAAAAGTGAGGTCATCAGTTGTCTGTCCGACAGGA